TAAATAATATTTTAAAATAAATATATTGTCAAAAATTGAAAGAATGAATAAAATAATAAAGCACTGTTCATTTGGTGTAAATTTTGATGTAATGGTTGGAGAAGAATTTTGGTTTGGTGCAAGATTTAGTGCAAAATTTGGTGCATGATTGGAGATGGCCTTAGCACTACTTCTTGCTATTATAGTGGTTTGGACAAGAGCCCAAAGGTTCCATGTGCTACATCTTGCATGGACACAACTTAATGAGAGAATGCCAAATTTCACCAAGTCGTGCATAAAATGCTGAGCCAAAATGAACTTTTCCTTGCCCTGTTGGAGGAGATTATGCCAAAATGAATAGGCAACCCTAGAGTGCCTACTACTTATCTGTCATCGTCATGTGATAACGAGTCACATGATGATTATTAGTTAAGAGTTATCTTGATGATTGATTTGCTATTATAGTTAAATAATAAAGATCTATTCGACAAAGAACATGTGCCCCATGTCTTTATGTGAAAATTGTACGCTTGGGAAACATTGTAGACTATCTTTATCTTCTAGTGTTTAGAAATCAACTTGTCATCTTGAGTATATCCATTTTGATTTGTGCGTCTAGCAAGTAACCCTACACGAGGTGGGAATAATTATTTTCTTTCTTGATGATTTTTTCAGAAAGGTTTGTGTTTATCTTTAAAATGAGAAAGTTGATATGTTTATGTTCTTTATGAACTGGAAAAGGAAAGTAGAAAATAAAACAAGTAAGATAATTAAGTTCTTAAAAACTAATAATGGGTTTGAATTTTGTAATTTTTTTGATTATATATGCAAAGAATATTCATAACAAGGCCTAAGAGAGTCTGAGGTGATTGAAAGGACAAATATGACTTGATAAAATTAGAAGTATGATGGTGAGTTCAAATATCCAGAGCCAGTCCTGTGATTGTTGAGGCTCGAGGCGCTAAATTAGGCCCCTAAAATCAACGTAAATGCAAAATTCAATGATGTATTATGTAATCTTTTGTTAACTTAAAACTTAACATTAAAATAACAAATAAATATATTATACAAAATATTTATATTATAAAATAACAAAACCAATAATGTTTCAAATAGTTATTTAAATACTATTCACTTTTAATTATATTCAGCTTGTGAACCTGATAAAGCTGGGTAATCAAATCATCAATCATAAAATATCATTTCTTTTGCTAATCAACCCCAGTTCATGGTTTTTTATCTAGTCAGTTTTTAATGTCAAATTACAAGGAAAAGCCATAAAATAGGAGACAAAGTAGGAAATTTCAAACCAGCTACTAAAACCGACTGCAAAAAATGAAGGTATTTATAAATTGTAGTTGAAATATTCAACTCCTAACCATTAGTACTTAACTAGCTAGCACTACAAGCTAGAAGATCATCAGAAGGATGAAAAAGAAAAACTCACTGGCGTGCCCTATGTTTGCCAATCTCTCAACCCCGTGTTATTTAAATACCATAGATCCACCCAAGTCTAACCAATTCATAAACCCATAATTATAATTACTCCTAACAAGCTTAGAAACGAGGTTTCATATCAGATTTTCGATCCCACTCAGGGTCAGTCTCCATGGAAAATAACGAAGGGTGAATGTCTGTACAATCAAACCTAACCCCTCCACTCCTTTCTGCGCTCTCTAATTAAAAATGAAATCCAAACTTCATTACATTACAACTTAAGATCAATGAACCCAAAATGATCAGTTTCCTACAACCATCTAGAGCTGAAAATTTTCACCTCGAAATGAAGCTATTATTCTGAAATAAGCAGTAACAACATTACAATCGGAAAATACGACAAACTCAGATATCTAAAATAGAAAAACTTCCACACTTATTCAACAATAGTTGAGAACAAGCCAATTTAACAGGTAGAGAAACACAATTAAAAAGAAAAAAGAAAAAAGACAACAATTTATAAAAAGCTCCTTCAAAGGCCTACGTGGAGAATCTTCCACTTCACTATAAGAGGAGGAAGAGAAGCCACGTAAGGAAATGAGGCCATGGCCTGGTCGCCGTTCGGTTGGAGTTATTGGAGGCGACGAGCAGTCGCCAGCGCAGGACAAACCGGAGGGGAAAAACTAATGGAAATCCCTTTTTCCTTTTACATCATTAAAAAATAAAAATAAAAAAAAGGCCAAAATGAGGCCCTTCCGATTTTGGGCCTGAGGCGCTGGCCTGGCAATAGAATCGGGCCTGCAAATATCCCCAAGTCATTTTGGAGTGAAATTGTGATGACAAGTTGATTAATTGTTTTTTTGATTAATTTGATATAATCCAGTGCTTAAATGGTAACACTCCTTGTGAGCAATGGTCTGGTCGGGAAGGTGTGATGAATACTCTACCTTAAACACCTTCAGTTGTGCGAGCCTATGTCGAGGAATTTTGTTTTTCTAGAATACCAAGATGGTGTTAAAGGGTATACGTCATGGTATAAAAGTCAGAGCGGGGAAAAAATTATTATAAGTAAAGATGTTACGTTTAATTAGTATGAGATGCCTTGTTTGACCTTTGATAGTGCATATCGAGAAAAAACCAGCAAGAGGACGATACCTAGTTGTAGATTAAGTCTAAGGGAAGTTAAACAACTAGTAAAACAAGTGATATATGATGAGTGACACGATCCATCCCGAATCACCCTAGTGGACTCGAAATGTGATGTGTGTCGATGATAGATACAAAATAAATGTCAAATCTATTATCAAAACTGACTATGAGTAACTACAAAAATGCAAATGCTTATATAAAATATAATGCGATGGGCCAGAATATTTACTTCATGCTTCATCCATATGTATCCAACACTCAATATGTCGTGTGATTATCATTTGGAAATCATTAGGCTCTTCCAATTATAAAAAACGAACTATTACTTGTAGGAAAAATCATGGGAAAATATATGAGTCGATAGCTTAGTAAGTGAAGAAGTTTGAAGATAATTATACTTTTTCATTTATAAATATTTATGAATAATAACGTATAATAATAGTCAAGATGTGAGATATCTTTATAACCATGCAATATATAACCTCATAGTCATGATATAATCATCAGTTAATATACATACTATAATCTCATCACATCAATTGTAATGGAAAATCCACCAAAAAATGTACACAGTAACTAAAATTTGTAATCTGCTCCTCAGACTAAATACTTTTGCCATAGGCCTTTGGCCCCCTATGTGAATGAAAGCAAGTCTCAAGAGCTCTGATAATTAATTCTAGAACACAGCCAAGAACTCTTAGTGAACTATATGTACAAGATCAAGATTCCTTCATCCCCAGTCAAGATCACTCAATGTAGTATCGAACACAGTCAAGACCGTTTAGTGAACTAGAAGAAGTAAACAATCATGGGTGCTTTTTATGGTCGATCTCAATATCACGTATGTCTCACATACCAAATCACAAATGGACCATATATAATCATTGAAATTCCACTTGTTAACTTACATAATAATCGTATAATTGAATAAATAATTGCATATAATTTAATAGTAAAACTAATTTATTGATACTTGAAATATGTAAGTTTTTCCACTCATAGAACTATATACGCAAAATCAACTCGATTGATTAGCTGTCTTGATATATGTGTTGCTGCTTGAAAATTGATATAATTTTTTAGATTAGCAATTAACTATTTTAAGTGATTTCAATAATTAAATAGGCAATATTAAATTCTAATTTTTTTATACTTTAAGTTAATCGCTTAAACTATTTTTCCCCTTTCTTTTTAACTTAATCTTATAGCTTATTATACTTAATTCAATAATTCACTTTCAATAAAATTAAATTTAAACTAATAATTTAATGACTCTAAAATTGAACATAACTATTCAATAAGTAGCCTTTTATTTACCTTTCGAAAATGAGAAATTCAATCTTAATAGTATAAACCACTTATTTCTAACAACTTAACAAATTTTTCCTTGTTTTCCTTCTTCTTCCCCCCCCCCACCTTCACCCGTGCATGCGAATTGGATTGATTATATCAATCCAATGCACCGCCTTAGTCCCCTCTTTTTTCATTATAGTTCTATTTTCATTTTATTTCTTGCTTGACATTGTTGACTTTTCTTTCATTTTTTCCGCCTCCTAATTAAGGTATTACAATGAGGGTGGTGAAACATTTGTAGAAGTTAACCCAATATGAGTTGATCCTTTAGAGGATTACGAGCTTCATTTTATTTATTTATTTATTTATTTTTTTGCTCAAAAGGGGATCAAAAGTTTTCACCCTTCTATCTACCTTCTTCAAGAAATTTTACGTTCAAAGTTGTGTTGGATAAATTGGTGCATAATTAATATTCCGCTAATAAAATATATGTGCATGCAAATAAGAATAAAGTAACGACTTATCGAAACCATGATATGTGCATAATAATGAATAAATCATGACTTGCTCAAATATAGAAAATACAAAAATTTGAAGGAGATAAAATGAAGCGAAATATGTGAATATAAATCTCTTTAAGGCAAATTTCGTACCCTGCATTAGTACTAACAAGAACAAATGAATGTCCGTCTTTCAAGATACAACACTTTTTTCAAAATAATATAATACGATAGTAATTTTAACAGGTGAACCAACACTTGACTATACTTTTCTAGAATGAAAAATATTGAATAGGAAATATCTAATACAACACTCAAAAAATATTTTGAAAATTATTTTAACATTATTTCGAGTAGAAAAGAATTATAAATAAGTGAGAAAAACCAAATTAGGAGGTCCTATTTATAGATTTTCATGTGTTACTTTGAATGGTTGCATCATTTGACAAAAATAAGTTTTAACCGTTAGATTGCACCATTTCATATTCAATGGTGTAGATTGCACCTCATATCAAAAGGTCACATCCATTCTCAAACAATTTGCAATTGAAGAGTCACGATTAGTCATTGCACCATGACTGGAGACTTTTCCAATTCACACCTATAAATACCCAAAAAATTCCAGCAAGGTGAACGCAAGGATAAAGATCTTTCGGAATTTCCGCATAAAGTTTGAGGACTAACCTTGCTTTTAACAACTATGAAATTTATAATCTAAGAGATTGCACATCTTACCAAAGATCGATTCTCTTACAGAAGGATGAATTAAAGATGATCATAATAAAGAGAATACAGGATAGGAAATGAAACTTCTCTACTTTTCTAGTAGAAATTATTCAATTGGTTAATATACAGACTATTATGATATGCATACATCGAAACTTGTATCTTCATTTATGACGGTCGTTCGCATCAAGGGCCTCCTTTTGATATATTAATTAACCATCAATGGAAGGGTCGTAAGGTGTAGGAATTAAGTAAAGGTTATTTTTTCTTGGTACACTTATTCCTTCTCCTTCACTCATATCTAGATCATCAGGGTTCATTCCTTTAGGAAGTTTCCAATTAAAGTGGTAAAGAAGTAGAGCTAAAGGAAGCTCAACATTGGCTAAGCCAAAATTCATGCCAGGGCAAATCCTTCTTCCTGCTCCAAATGGAATAAATTCAAAGTTATTTCCCAAAAAATCAATAGATTTGCTCTCAAATCTCTCTGGTTTAAAGCTTTCTGGTTCATCCCAATAATCTGGATCTCTTCCCAAAGCCCATACATTAATCAAGATTTTGGCTTTAAGGGGTATAGTATATCCATTAACTTCACATTCTTCTCTGCAAGCTCTTGGAAATAATGGAAATGGAGGATTGAGCCGTAAAGTTTCCTTAATTACTAACTTCAAATATTTGAGTGACTGGACATCACTCTCTTCGAATGTCCCCTTTCCCCTAGCAATTTTTCTTACTTCAGCTTGTGCCTTTGCCATCACATGTGGATTTCTCATCATCTGTGCCATTGCCCAATCTATCGTTGTGGATGAAGTTTCAGTTCCAGCTGAAAACAAGTCCTGCAACCATAACATTTCTTATTAACGTTGGATAAAATAGATAACTAGAAAGAAATATTTTATGACTAAAATACTTACAAAAATGATTGCTTTGATGTTCTCATTAGTTATTGGAATATCTAGTTCCCCGCTTTGTTGTAATCTGAGTAGAACATCTACTATGTCTTCCCCACCCAACTCCCCGTTGCCCCTTCCCATTGTAGCTAAGTTACGTTTATGCTCGCTAATCATTGAGTCAAGAATTAAATCAAGTTTACCACGCATCTTCCACAATCTGTTTTTGTTCCAACTGATGACCTGGAGTAACTTCGATGAGGGGAAAAAATCAGCCAATTCGAAGCCCCCCGTGAGGGCTAGTCCTTCCTTCATGAACATGATCAAAGTGTCTTTATCTTTTAGAACCTGACCAAACGCTGCTCTGCATGTAATTGAACTAATAAGTGAGGATATTTTCTTAGTTAGATTGACGGGTTCTCCTGAACATGACTGAATATATTCGATAAGTTGTGAAGTCTCATCGAGCCTTATGGAGCCGAACGACCTAACGTTTTTGGCGCTTAATAGCTCCAGTATGCATATTTTACGCATTTGCCTCCAGTGCTCATTATATGGACTAAATGCGATATCACCATAATCATACCACATAATCTTTACTCCTAAATTTTCTCCCTTATCCGCACAAGCAGGATCATGAACCTTCAATACATTTTTAGCAGTTTCACGGGATGAGACGACAATCGTGGAAACTTCACCAAGTTGCAGATGCACGATGGGACCATATCTCTTACTTAACTTTCTTAGAGCATGATGCGGGGGAGAACCCACCAACTGGTGCATGTTTCCAATCAAAGGCAGTTTCCATGGGGTCGGAGGTAATGTTTTGTTCTTTTTATGGGAATTCGATTTCTTCCATCGCTTGACAAACAAAAAGATGATGGATACGAGAAATAGTGAAGTAGTGAAGTTGAAGGGAAGAAGTTGGATATCCATCTATCTGGTTTTTCGCCTATTTTCTTTGGTTTTGCACAATGTCTCCTTATAGATCGAAAAGGTCAATGTTGGAGTGTATCAATTTTGACTGCATAAGAATATTTATATATTTGTCTCGTTAGAATTCTTACTTTTTATACTCCGTTTGGCCCCCATTAATTTTTATTCTATTAAATTTTATTTTTCTCTCTTATTTTCAATTACACAATCTTTTATAAAATGATATAACACATAAATCAAACACTTTTCGTTCTTTTTCAATCACTTGTTTTAAAAAAAAAAAATACTATTTCACCAATTAATTTAATATTTCTTCAGTACCTCGGACATGAATCTAAATTGCCAGCTAAAGGAAAATCACATTATTTATTTATTGTGCCAATGTTGACTAGCTAAAATCTCGTTCAAAATAGGCGGCGCTTTATTTTCAATTATTTCTGGTTAGACTTTACTAACCTAAAAAAGGTTACGTATATTCCCAATGAAATTTTTGTCAGAACCTTCTTTTTGTTACATTTCGTGAAGGCCATGTGGCAACTCCACGTGCAGCCCATGCCCATCGCCTGGCCGAGATGAGGCAGGCTGACCCACGAGTCTCGCCTTCCGCAATTACCATGTTATTTCGTTTGGTCTTCGGAAGGATAGCCAATGTGTCAACTTGCCCCTCTGAATACCTTCTTCTGGAAGCATAGTAGTGAAGACCTAATTAATAGGTTCGGTAGGCGAGGACCAGCAAACGAGGCATTGTGCCTGTGACAATCAATCTACAATTTACAAGACAACTAGTTTTATTTTAGGAGAATGCATCCTTAAAGGAAACAATCTAATGAACCTAAAAGTCCTCAAGGAATCCTAAATGATCAAGGAAGTTGTAAAGGAATCAATCTCTATAATGATTAGTTTCAAGAAGTAAATGTATGGATAAAAGGAAATAATTCTTCAATTACTGGAAAGGCGACACGAATAAATTAGTGTTGCAATGTCCTTGCCTAATTCCACACGAACTCTCACCTAAACGTAGTCATGTAAAGATAGAAGTTGTTGACACACTAAAAGTACAGCCCAAATTGAATAGCCCAAGGAATGAAGTCCAATTGGGGAATTCCCAAATCAAATAGCCCAAAAAATAAAACTCAACCGGGCAATTCAGGATAAAGGCCCAGATAGGATTATTAATGAATGCAGTGGAAGCCCACGAACACAGTAACATCATCGCCCAAACTTGCAAGACGCCCAAGATCTGAGCGAATGAAGTGCCTTACAGTCGCCCAGAGCTATGACCCTGTTCTCGCCCAAACCTTCGAATCGCCCAGAATCTTACCAAATATATGATGTTATGGTTATCCAGAAGTGCAGTTATTGAAGCAGTTATTGAGTAACCTTATCACGGTCCACGATTCAAGGAGTTCAGTTGAAGACGGTTGAACGACAAAGAGTAGTGGCAGCAGTTAGAGACGGCAGTTTCACGACAAGTTAGTCACCATAAAGAAAGTGGGTAGTTATAAAGCAATCAAGCAGTTTGAAAGCGATTGATCATGAAGAAATCATCAAGGGAATATAAAAGGAAGAGAAGACATAGAGCAAAGGACCCCGAATTAAACACTCTCAAACAGAGAATATGTAATTTCAATTTCTTAGTTTAGACTTAAACATTTCTTTTCAGTACTCGTGTGCTTGCGCCCCTTAGAGGCATTCTGTTTAGTTCCAATTGTAAAGTCATCGTCAATAAAACATCCATTTTTGGAACTTTGTCTCAAAAGGTTTGTTCCTTACACAATCGCCTGATCCCTTTTTAATTGTTAGCGACTACCCGCGTGAAACAGAAGAAAAGGTACATAAATTCT